GTCATCTAAATTGAACCCGAGTCAATTCCGGGTTCGACCCGAATACCCGTTTTGACAACCCTATCAATTACCAAGATTAAAAAAAAAAATACTCTAAAGCTTCTGTATGACAACCATTTTTCTATTTGTCAAACAATCAAGATAGTAACAGATAATTATTTCTTACAAGACTAAACTGAAAAAAAAAACTATTTTTACAAGACAAAAAGGTTATCTTGTAAATGTTGATCATCATCTGGCATCACAAGAATAACCGTCTTGTATGCTGTGCAATTGTTTTTGTCAGGATACCCTGAGCGATATTCTTTTCTTTGAAAACAGCCAAGGGAAAATATAAAATAAATAAATAGCACCAAATTAGACTTTTTAGCTTGACCCTGGGAATGCATAACACCCTCTAAAAAACACAAGAAAATTCCTAAGAAACCCTATGTGCGTTACTTACTTTTAGCAAGCCCCAAGGAAGAGAGACAATTATTTATGGTCCTTTATGAGTTAAATTTAAAACTGTCATACAATCATACAATAAAATTTACATTTTGTTGGTTAAAGAAAAAATTACGAGCATGTACCCCATGAAGTAAACACACATAACTAAAAAAAAAAAAGATAAATGACAGCTTCCATATAGACAATAAACTACACAATATTAGCTTGACAAAATATCGAAGATGAAAATAATAAATTATCTGGTTGGATGGTGTAGGAGAACCTAAACAGATTGTACGTTTGCTTGTCCGAACCAATCCAAGGTATTCAACCGAACTGAATGGTTACAAATTAAATGGAAAAAGGAATCCTTGGTCTAAAACAAAAACAGTTATAATATATAGCGTTTAATAGAAAACCCAAATAATAATGTCAATGTTGAACTATTAGTAATAGAAAATGACATTGTATGGTGCTTAAAAACATGCATAATAAATTATACTAACTGAAACACTATCCATCTGTGGCTATTAGGTATTATCTCAAGGAATTAACCATTCAAATTGATCATATTGAATAATGGATGGTTTTTATGCATCCTGGCCATGAAAATTAAATAGAAAGAATGGTTTCAGCATGTATACCAAAAAACTAATAGGAGAGGACAATGGAAAGTGATTTTTCGTGTTAAGTAAGATGGGACTAATCTTGTACTAAAACTATTTTTGGACATCAAAAAACCATTTTCTGTACTTGCATAATGAAAAATCAAAAGAATGCTTATTAAATATTGTGTTCCTCGTTGCAGAAACTTTTGAAATAAGTAGGAAATGCATGTTTTTTTTTTCTTGGGGACTCGCTTAAAAAAATGCATAGCAAGAAAATAAGCTTCCTAACTTCAGCACAGCACGAGGGCCAAAAGTGTCAAAAACAATTTTGAAAGCTTCCTAACATGAAAAAGCGGTCTCTTTCACACAGCTGTATTTTGTAAGTTCCATAAACAAGAATTTAAGCATGCAAGTACATGATAGGAAATGCTTGTAGATTTCATTTCAAGTGAAACTTATCGATCCTGGAAAATCGGTGAGAAATCTCCACAAGACTCCAAGAAAAACCAAAAAAATAGTAGATATATTGTATTAATTGATGAATGTGGAATGAAAATACCAAGATACAATTGATCCTCACTTCGAAAGAAGGATCAATCTCTCCCAATTTTCTAGACGTCACTAGAGCCCAAGAATGTCAAGCACCAAAATAGAAATAAACAATAATCAAGATGGAAAAACCCTAACCCTAATGCAAAACCTAATTTAAAGCAAACACAATAACCCCCCTCCAAAAGACTAAACAGCCTTGCTTACTTTGCCCTAGCCACCATTTCCTTCCTCTAAACAATAATCAATCTCTCCCAATTTTCTAGACGTCACTAGAGCCCAAGAATGTCAAGCACCAAAACAGAAATAAATAATAATCAAGATCGAAAAACCCTAACTCTAATGCAAAATCTAATTTAAAGCAAACACAATAACCCCCCTCCAAAAGACTAAACAACCTTGCTTAGTTTTCCCTAGCCACT